TTGAGAGTTACCCAGGGTTGTGTTTTAAACATGTAAATCTTTTAACTAAGAAAAATGGCTGATATCTTATTGCTGTATTTAATACATCATAGCAAATCTATAAACTTAGTCTTCGTGATATGCTATAAAAGGGCCTGATATTTCTTCAGAGGAGGATATACTGTTTCTGGGGAAACCCAATGTACAGTATAATGAAAAGCAAAAGAACAAACCTAAAGGAATTAAATATCTTCAAATGTATAAACTTCACCTCTAACCTGAAAATGGACCATATTGCACAGAATCATATCTTCCAGCAGATTATTTTAGACCTCTCTCCTTCAGCAACTGTTTTCAGAGAAACAATCTCCAAGAATAGATTTTGAGGAATTCTATTGTGTCATTACATATTGCAAAATTTTGATACAGAATCTAATTGTGAAATGTAAAATGCTCAAACTTTTGATCTGAATATGTGAAAAGTCACCCAAATCATCTTACAAAACCTACAATTTCCGTACTTACGAAAATAGTTCCATGTATTAAAAGAACAGTTCAGTAGGTATATGTGTTCAGCTGTGCTCAGTAGGTTCAGCTCTACTGCTTGTTCCTAAATAACTAACAACCCAGTGCTTTCTGCTGACATTTATGTTCTGCATTGCAAGCTTCTGAACATGTCAACCTCAGTTCACCTTTCCCCTCTAGAGACTCATAAATGCCATCTCCTTTATTTAATGGGGCAATGTTTATTGTTTGTTGAGATGCTATGAAAACCTACATTGTCTTCAGAGATGATCAATCAAAACAATGTGTATATTAGTAAATACAGGTGTTTTAAAAAACAAGATATTTTTATTTATTTTCCATAACAGATATTCCATAAGGCTGAGGCTCTTGGCAGCTTCTAATATATTGCAATGTGAATGAAGTATCACATTATTTTTTGGCGGCCTTTGCTGCCAAAAAATAATGTGATACTTCATTCATATTATATCATCTCTAATCCTTAGCCTTTGCTCTTCAAAACATACTAGAAAGAAAAAACCTAAATATAAATACAAATGCATTAATATTCTCATGAGCAAAAAATACCCTACAATACTCAATATTATCTTAGAGTTGCAGTAAATTTGCTATAGGCATGCTATACAATTCTGAAATTCTTATCTTTGGGATGGGAAAAAATAATATTCAGACATTAGTTGTGATTTAAAGCTTAATATGTTGTCTTATTTTTAAAATACCGTTGATTTTGAGACCATTGATGCAGTAAGTTTTTAAAAATGTAGCCACCTAGAATATGCCAAGTCGCTGTCATTCCAGAGCAGGAGTTTCAAACTGGCAGCCCGCCGGCCAGTTGTGTCACACACCAAGCCACACCCACCCCAGCTCCGTGAAGGGAAAAACATCACGATATGTTAACGTGATGCGGAAAGTTTGACACCCAGACCATGATCAGATCTGTTTTGAAATGACAATAGCTTGGCTTTCAGTGATAACTCTGATATACACTACATTCAAGTGGACCATTTATGAGACTGTGTTTTCTTTTCATGGCAGGGCTTACACAATATTTTGAACCTAAATTAATATTGGATAGATTTGCAGAACTAAGCTAAACTGCATTAACTAGTTAGTCATTCAATGTACGATGCATATATAGTCTATGTTTTAGGTTTCTAAATCCAAAAAAGTGCAAGAAACACATTCCTGGGTTTCTGGCTCTTTCAAATAGAATTGCAAATTAGATATCAGTTTAGCAGCCTAGAATATCTAATGGCAAAACCCTAGCTGGACTTTTTAATGTTAAAATGTCTAAGGAGATTGTCTGCTGAATTCTCCCCATATATAATGATCTATGTCACCTTCAGCCATGCTGTCTCTAAGCATATTACTGATTCTTTTTTCTGTATAAATTGGTCTGGCCAAACAATATTGTAGGCTGCTTTAAATTGACCAATGCTTTCAGGTCAATGAAAATAGTACTATTTATTGCGTCCAATTTTGGCTTGATAGTTTATATATGTCTACATAAAAGTCATGAATTGGCCATCAGAATACCATGTTCATGAGCGTGCCTTTAGTGTCAGGCAATGTAAAATCTTTGTTAAAATTTTGAGAAATAAATTGCCTGAATCATGATGTTCTGAAAAATAATTGATGCAGAATCTAAGGAACTCCTTAATGGGAAGTTTCGAGCAAAAAAATAAAGTACTTAAATTGATTCAGTATTTGTCTACTTGGCTGAATCAGGAGGAAATAATCTTTGCTGAGGTCCCTATAAACCAGATATAACCTTGGGATATGGTAGCGAATAAATTGTCATAAATAACTAAATTCCATTCTTGAATAAATACATCTATGGTTTTCCTATAACAATGAAGGCCATCAGTATCTTTCCTATAGAAAGTATCTTCATTAATAAAATGGCCTGTATCCATTAAAATTGGACGATCTCCTAGGGCCTAGGCCCATGATGGCAAACCTGTGGCACGCAGAGGCCCCTCTGTGGGCACGTGCGCCATCACCAGCTGGTCTGGTTTCCACCGTGCACATGCATGCCCGCCAGCTGGTCTTCGGGGGCACTGGAGTGCTGGAAAACAGCCTCAAAATGGGCCAAAAAACAGGCATGCATGCACACTGTCAGGGTTCCAAGGAACCCGATGATTGGGTCCACACAAAGATACATGCACATGGACGTGTGTTCCGGTTTGAGCACTTGGTGCCAAAAAGGTTCGCCATCACTGTCCTAGGCATATTGTCTATTTTGAAATGCTGTTAAATACCACATCTAAACAAGCATTTTTAATTATTAGTATTTGTTCAATTTAAATTAGTTTATGAAACTAATTTTTTACATTTTTTTAAATAGTGCGTGAAATTGTTTCTGCTTTGAGACTCTTGGGAACCTCTTTTAAGGGGAAAGGGGCCTCCAATTCAATAAATTAATGCATAAATCTTTCTAAGGCAGGGCTGTCAAACTTGTGGGCTGCAGGCTGGATGCGTCACATGCTGACCATGCCCACGCCCAGTTTAACGAAGGGGGAAAAGCCATGATACATCACATGACGACGTGAGTTTGACACCCCTGTTCTAAGGTATAAATAACTTCCATGTACCAGTTAATTTATTCAGTTCTCCATGTTTTGATAGCATAGGTAAGTAATCTACCATTAGTGTTGAACTTGTTTGAGGAATTAGTATGCAGCAGTCCTGTAAGAGATGAAGGAAGAGGCAGATTGTTTATAGAGAATGGAAATAGTTGAGAAATCAACATGTGAAGACAGGAAGGTGTTATTAAAATGAAAGGGAAAAAGTTCTGAATAGTGAACTAAATTTATCCACTATTCAATAGCACTAAGGAAGTGAGTATTTCCTGTGCATTGGGGGTCATTTTGGAATTTTGTTTTTAATGCAAAATTGGATTTCCCTTCCATCTCTTCCTCCCATCTCTTTAGGATAGACTCTTCCTAAATCTTCTGCTTGCAACATATATGGATATGATTATAACTTTTATTCTCCAGTCAGCACCTGCTTTGTGACATCAGCAGCCATAGTATTGTTCATTTTTGACTATGTCACAGAGCTGCCTGCCTTATGAAGAAGCAAGCCAGCACATCTCAAGCAGCTAGGAAAGGATACATGATTGCCCTGTTTCATGAATACAAAACAACAATGCATGTGGACCATACAGGTGAGCAAAGACAATTTGGAGGATATTTTACTTTTAAAAATTTGTGTACTTCCTAAACTCTGGTTTGTTGGCTGGTAAAACAGGGATTGAACACATTCAATATTAGGAATACTTTTGCATTGTTGAGGGGGTTTTGTTTTTAACTTTAGGCAAATTATATGTTTGTAGCCAGGAACCCACGGAGGCGTAAGAGATTGGTTTTCTCCTTTTTTCCACAACATGCGCAAAAAATGCTGCACCGACTGCTGTGTAAACTGGGAGTTCTAGTCATGTTTATCATTCTTTGTCCAACTTCCTATTCTATAGCAGAGAAAAGCAAGAAATTTGTTTCTTTCTGAGGAAAAAAATACGATACCTGAGGAGTGGCTTGCCATTGCTTCCTTCTTGGGGCAGAGAAAGAATGACTAGCCCAAGGTCTCTCTCACACACACACACACACACACACACACACACACACACAGACTGCTGACTTTGTGCCTAAGGCAGGACTAAAATTCAGGGCCTCCTCGCAGGTTTCTAGCCTGATACCTTAATTACTACACCAAACTGGCTCTCCTGAGAGTGTTTACCTCAGAGTTAATGCACTCACAGTTGCGGCTTAGACCTTATTGTTTGGGAAAGAAGGCCATTCTTTTCCTAAACAAAAATAGCACAACAATACCACGTCAGAAATCTAAAGTGACAGCTTCAGCTTCATTTATGGTATAATTGGTGATAAGAATTCCCGCATATTTCCTTTCATCCAGGAAAAAGAATACAGGAATCCCCTTTCCCGTCCTCCATTTATGCAAACGCTGGCCACTCAAACTTGTTTTAGCAGAATTACTTTTCCCTCTGCTGGAATGGGCACACATTTCATCGTCTTGTGATGTTGCTATAAAATAGACTTTGCCACCTTGGTACCTTCCTTATAATCACCACCATCTTCAGCCGCCCAACCCGTCTAGATTTGGACAGCGTCAGACTGGTGACTTGGCTATTATTTTGTTTGGTAGCACTCTGAAGGGAAAGGCGGGACCTCTGCCACGGCAGCTATAAACCCTAGGATATAAACAAGGTTTCTTCTTCCCAATAATAGGCGTTTCCACTGGGTCCCTTTGGAAAGAGACCGGGAGCAAGTTGTCCCTCCCCTCAGACACGGTGCTTGACGTTATCTATTTAACACTCCTGTAGTGGTAGGGTGTTTCTGGCTAACTTTTGAGATGCGGGATGCTCATCACAAATAAGAGCCCCAAAACAAAACTTCTCGGCTGAGCTTCAGAGCGACAAAACCTCGCTTTCCCAAAGAGACGGCTCACGCCCGGATGCTTTTAAAAAGACGCTGTACCTTTAACTAAGTACCGCGCCGGTTGCGCGCGCGCTTCCCTCTCCCGCCTGAGCGACCGCTCTCTTTTGCGCGAGCCCATGTCCCCCCCCCCCCCCGCCACTAGCCTCTCCGCTTCTTCCTCCCTCCCTCCCTCGCCTCCCTGCCTCCCTCCCACTTTCCCGACGCAGCAATTGGCTAATCCGCTGTCTGCCGGAAAGTCAACATGTCCCGCGTGTGGAGCGGCGACCGCTGCTAACCTTGCACCAATCGAGGTGGCTTTTACTGCGGAGGGAGGGGTGCCTCGTCGTTAGCCAATGGGAGGCGGTCTTATTCGGGGCGGCGCAGCCCTGAGAGAGTCTGTGAGAGGATCCGCCTGGCTTGCTGGTGTTTCGGGCGTGAGGAGACGCGGAGGCCGGACCAGGTGAGAGAGTGAGGGAGACTGCAGGAAGAAGAGTCGGGGCAGGACTGGGTTGGCGGTGGTCCTTTATTTTTTTTCTTTGCTAAAGCGGCAGGTAGTCAGGCTGGCCGGCTGGAGGAGGAGGGGAAGACGATAACGACGACGACCGGTGGGAGGGAGGCCGGCTGCTCATCCCCCCCCCCCGGTGCGTGTACCAGGCCCGGCTAGGAGCGGGTGGAGGCAGTCCGGTCCTACTCCGGGCACCATTTTAAAGGAGCGGCCGTGGGGTCCATTCCGGACCGTAGAAGCGGGGAAGACGGGAAGCCTGACTCTCGCCCAGGTTGCCACATGCGGGTGGGAGGAGAGAGGCTTGGTTTCCACTTCTCGGGGCGGTCCCTTTTCCTTTGGTCTACGCTTCCTGTTCTACCGTATCTCGACCATGTGTTTGGTGCTTTCTTGCTCAGCTGGGTAGGCCACCTGGTTTGAAATACTGTGGTCGAAGATTTATGCGGAGAAATACAAGCCCGGGAATTGCCTTTAAATTAATAATGCCTTCTACATGTGACGAATGTTTTTTTTTCCCCCTTGAAAATATACGCCAGGTTTTTTTTTTCCAGACATAGGTCCTTTAATATTTAACCTGAGATGATTTTCCTCCCGTGTTTTTTTTTTTTCTTTTTCCTTCCTCCGATCTTGAAAACACACAGTCGTGTTGTTTCCTGTGGATTTATAGCTCTGAGCTCCCTAACGGAAGCCATAATTTTCTACAGTAGTTTAACATCATGATGTGAGTCTTCGGTAAAAGCTGCACATTTTGTAAGCTCGGCTAATTTGCTCCTACTTGCCTCAAGTTTGAAAGGAACCAGTGAAAGAAAAATGTGAGAAGTTCGCTCAAGATAATAAAATGGCATAAAACTAATTAGCTAAAATTAAATTCATCTGTGGGGGGAAATCTTGCATAAAATTAAATGTGTAATGTACAAAAATTTAATTTTATTGAATGTCATACAAACTGAAATTCTCTAATGCAGAAATAACTGATTATAACTTTGATACTTTATTTTCTTTTGACATGTTGAGTTACATTCCTAGGAACACCAACTTCCCGTTAATACCTTTACATCTGTTCCTTTTTGTGATATGTTTGCAGAGCTGTACAAGTAGTCCATGTTTAGTTATTATAATTGGACTCTGCAACAAAGTTTTAAGCCAAGCCTTCACTAAGTGAAACCTCAACTGTGCTTATGATTTTTCTTCAGCTTTCCTTTACTTTATAGATCTGTGAGGGTCATAAATGCAAGGATTGGTCATAAAATTATTTTTTCATCATCATAACCATGAATACAAACTGAACAAGAACTCCTGTATAACATTTCTCTGCCTTGTTTTTGGAAGTGTAGTAATTTAAATTTAATCTGAACCTGATCATATCTATTTTTATTCAAAATGAAAGCTCCATAGAATTTTAAGGGAATACAGGTAGTCCTTGACTTACAGCAGTTCACTTAGTGACAGTTCAAAGTTGCAACGGCAATGAAAAAAGTGATTTATGATCATTTTTCACACTTACAACCTTTGCAGCATTCCCATGGTCACCTGATCAAAATTCAGAGGCCTGACAATTGATTCATATTTATGACAGTTGCAATGTCCCAGGGTGATGTCATCTTTTGGCCACATTCTGACAAGCAGAGTCAATGGGGAAACCTGATTCACTTAACCTTGTTATTAACTTAATATGTGCAGTAATTCACTTAATTGTGGCAAGATAAGTTGTAAAATGAGGCAAAACTCACTTAAATGTTTCATTTAGCAACAAAATTTGGGCTCAATTATTGTAAGACTACCTGTATGTGTATAATGCATAATTGAACTATGGAATACAGTACCACAAGATGTGATGACTTTAAAAGAGTATGGCAAATAGGACTCTGCCTTGAAAACATATTACGCAGTAAACCGAAATAATGGCGTAAAATAAACTTGGCAGTATGCAAATCCTGATATTTAGGTGTAGTTATACCAAATATTTCATTGTACTGCCACACTTCCAAAATATAGACACTTGCTAGCTGAAATTCCGAATACCAACTCAAATAGATGGTATAAATGCATATGATAATCCATTAAAGCATATACAATAATGAAATAAGTTTTTAGGATACCATAATATTCTAGATTAATTTTGTTGTATTTAAAATTATTTTAAACTTAATTGGACTTTCATCATAGTAAACTTGAAGAGTATTGTGCTTTTGTAATGAGGGGAAAATATGTTGGTGAACCTTTTTGGCACGAAGTGCCGAAACAGGAGCATGTGTGTGCGCGCGCAGGGGGGGGAGCGCCAGAAGAGCAGTTCCCCAGTGCGTATGTACACACCAGGAAGCTAAGCTTCCAGTTTCCAGCATGCACAAGTGCACCGGTCACCTGGTCTTCTGGTTTCTGGCACGCATGCACATATGAAGACCAGCTGCCCGGCGCACATGCACTGGAATCCAGAAGAGCAATGGGCAACGGCTGGCATGCCTGGAGACATGGCTCTGCATGCCACTTCTGGCACACATGCCATAGGTTCACCATCACAGGACTATCTATACAGTATGGTATCTGCCAGTACAATAGTGTAGGTTCCTTCTCTAAAGCTGCTTAGGAGTGTTAAGGAGTACTTAGAGAAGGTTTTAGTAGCAGACAGACAGATCAAATGGAAGTCAGTATAACTTTTCAGTGCAGTCTTTGTAGACAAACTGAAAGAAAATGTCATATCTGCTCTGAAATAAAATGATTAATTTTAAGGGTAGCACTTCAGCAATAGTTGAATGTTTTCTGACTTTAAAATTGGTCACGTGACCGTTAAAAGCCTTAATTCAAGTAATCCTCTGGTTTAAAACCCCAATCCTAAAGCCTAAAAGTAATTGTGAATTGAGCCAGGATCTGTTGTGAACTGGAAGAAATTTGTAATGGATGGCTAATGGAGTTCAATACTATAAAAAATTATAGCACTTATGTACATGAAGTGAAACGTGGCTGTTTGCAAAGAATGATGTACCTACAATGAAAAAAGATTTAAGATACTTAATTTATAATTGTTAATAGAATGTTAGAAAGATTCCTGAATGTTAAAAGATTAAATATTAATATGGTTATTTTATATACATTTCATACTTCCTAATCACTCAGCTTCCTCAAGGGGACCCTGTGCAGTAAAAATTGAATATGAATAGTATTTCATAATACTTCATAATTTTATATTTAAACATTTCATAATAAGATTGTATTCCAGTAGCTTTCCCAAAGTGCTATTTGGGATAAGGTTGCTTTAGTTTTATTTTAATTAAGATGTAATTCTGAGGTACATTTTGTAATCCAATTCTGATTACATTTTCAGACATGGATTTTTTAATGTTTATGGTCAATAGTTTATTCTGGCATCAAGTCTTGGGTTCTCTTTGTTGTTCTAAATAATTTATATTTTTATTTTTTCCCCATGTTTAATTAAAAATAGATGCTCAGATTTGCATTGTAATTTCCTTTGATACAGATATACTCTATATTAATAAGGAATATAAAAATATTGTGCTGAGCCATAATGTAGATTGGTTGGTTTGTAATGTACAATAATAATAAAATCTCCTTTTGTACCAAGGCATGTTCCTTAAAATCATTTCTGAATAGATTCACATTACTAAAAAAAAAGTTAAATCTTCAAGCTGAACTCAACTGCTAATAACTTCAGTACAGAAATTATTTAGCACTGACTTTTTCTATAATTTTTTTTGGGGTGGGGGGGCTTCCTAATATAGTCTACAATCCGGGTATTTCTTGGAAGGATCTTATCCAAATATTGGTCTAGGTTAACATTGTTAATCTCATCTAGCTGGGTCATAATATTAATTAATGTTGGCTGGAGAAAGCTAGGTTTTTCAAGTCCTTTGAGTTTTGATACCATTTCATAGTTGGATCCTGGCATATTCTTCCTATTCAATGGAAATTCTTTGCATGAAAGTTAAGGGTCTAGGTCCGTGATGGCGAACCTATGGCACACGTGCCACAGGTGGCACGTGGAGCCATATTGGTGGGCACCTGAGCGTTGCCCTAGCTCAGCTCCAGCACACATGTGCGCACTGGCCAGCTGATTTTTCGGCCTTTTGGGCCCAATGGAAGTCGGCAAACGGGCTGTTTCTGGCCTCCGGAGGGCCTCCAGGGAGGTGGGGAAGGCTGTTTTTGCCCTCCCCAGGCTTCTAGAAAGCCTCTGGAGCCTGGGGAGGGCAAAAAACAGGCCTACCGGGCCCACCATACCATCACATGCCAAAAGCAGGGGGAGCATGGAGGGGCCACGGGGGGCAGGGCGCATAGAATTATGGGTGTGGGCACGCACGTGCGTGACCATCCTGCACTCCCCCAGCTTTTGGCATGCGATGGCAAAAAGGTTAGCCATCCCTGGTCTAGGTGATTTGTCGATTCCCCTTATGCTTTCTGAAGGGGTATTATAGACTTTTGAGCAGTCCACTGAAAGTTTGTATTAGGCTACACACTTGGAAAAATTGGTGAAAATAATTTCTGATTGACATTCTTTGCTCTAAGAAGATCTCTGCTTCTGAAAATGGATTGCATTGATAATGCATAATCTTTTTATTTGATTATTCTGCATATTTTATATTTTAAACTATATTCATTGTGTTACAGGTGGATAAAAGATCTTACAGATGGCAGAA